AGTAAGCAAACTAATTAAATCAGTATTTCAGACAAGGGGATGTAAAATGATAATGAAGCTAGTAAACAATATGATCAAGGGTATTCGTGGCTTACTAAAAACAGCGCTTTGGAGACAACAAACAGAAGTTTTATGCCAGATTTTTAAGTCGATTGAAATATGCATGGAAGAAGGGTGGCCACAACATTTCTACCAGGGGCTTGCCAACAGGTGGTCTTCCTTGACCTTCTCTTATCCGTCAGGGACACATAGTCATCAGGAAGTACAGTAGCAATGAAATCTATTATGGAAAATTTTAACTACAATCATTTTCTAAACCTGAGACAGCTGGCCTGAGCGTGCCATTTTCAGAAATTTTGAAGTGAACATAACTGAATTTTTTCACCTCAGCTGAATTGGATGTGGCCCATCAGTTGGGGAATGATGGTCTACCTGTTGTATAGATCCCAGGATTTACCTAATACTCGGGCTAGAAACTCCAGAATTGTGGTTAGTGTAAACGGCAAACAGTACGACTCGGGTTGCCAAGCATCACAGATTAAGCCTCAATGGCACTGGATTAAATTTTGGGAATATGTAACCGTCATCACGGTAAACATTTCTAGGGTAAATGTTACCATCAATCGCACTTGGACTTTTCAACTCGGTTAGTTTTCCCGAGTAGTTTAAAATTAACTATTGAGGGCGGTACATTTTGACCCGTAACATGACCTGTACTGACATGCAACACTGATCTGATCAAAGCAAATCGCCGTCGTGATCTGTTTCTGTTCCTTCGACTGACTAGGCCAACATCATGAGAGCCTAGAATTTCTCCTTCCGATATTTCAGGCCTAGCGAGGCCTAAAAAATCAAGGAAAATGTCACGTTAGAAAATAATATAATGGTTTGTGATCAACTAGTCGAATAGTACGATATTCGTACGATCAATACAGCACAGTATAAAATTTGCGCGAAAATCGAAATGTACACATCAATAAACCAAAACAATGAGAAGAAGCAGGTCAACTAATTATATGCATGCGCCAGTGCTTCACAGAGCGATAAAGGTCACCCAATGAACAATGAGGCTCGGGATTCGATTAATTTAACCATGATTTAACCGACCTGCGGCTGTTCGCATTGGATTTTCCAGGCCGGTCAAAGTAGCTTGGTAGGAATTCCTGAGTAAATTTCACTCCCGAAAACTAAAACAGCGGTGACAATCAAGTTAACCGAGCGGGACTATCTGCACTGGTTTTTTTTCGGTCAAACTTACCGACAAGACGGTTACTTTTACTGAAATAAATCCAGTGCGATTGAGGCTTTAGATGTGCGGGACGCATTCACGGACAACTCAGGTACACACTGGAGTTGTGTAAACAACACCAAATTTGCTTCCGAATGATGCAATGGGTTCTTTTAAAGTGCACACGAGCCAGATGTATACATTGGACCTCCATTTTGAGTTCATATCCGAGAATACTTGGTTCTACCAACCGAACCATGGGCGAGGAGCGGCTGGAACCCGTACCGATGTTAAGGCTGTAGCTAGCGGCGCCCCTGCTGTACCGCTCGGCTGCTCGACTCGCATTTTGTGATTCGTTTTGTGTTCGGTGTAAATGGAAATGCATCCGGTATAAATCCGGAATTAACACATGTTTATTGTGAACATGGCAGTGTAAAAAGGGGACTAAACTAAACGAACTACAGTATCATCTGTTGGGTAGCTTGTACTTCATGTTCGGGATTTTCTGGTGCTGCCACTGGTGCTACAGCTTTGTAGCAGTTGAAATGGATTTTAGATTATTGAAGGCTTGGAAGTGGAATAAGCCAATTTGTAGTTGGAACATGCTGGTATCCAAGGACAGTTAACATGAACCTATGTTGTGTGTATGTTTATGTTGACTGACCTTGATACGGACATGCGCAGTTAGAGCTTGATGCATAGAAGACCAATGGCTTAAGTGTATATTCAGTGCAAGTCTTTGGAAATAGTTTTAAAGTAAATTTAAAATGGAAAATATTGAGGAGGTTACATGTAGGAATAACTGAAAAAAAATCTGTCGCTAAACTGCTTTCACTGCAATTGTTACAATGCATAGCTGTCCCTGACGTATTCAGGAAGGCTTCTTGATTCGACCAACCAATCAGGGACGCCAAAAACCTTCAGTGATCCATAAAAAAACCAGGCTTTTATCAAGCCGGAAGGACCAAATACAATACTCTAATACCTTGCTTGGCCAAGCTGCAGGGAGCAAAACCAAAATGCAGTACTGTAGTGCCTAAATTTGCTGTACTAGATAGGACAAAATCAAACCAAATGACTGGCTTTGCTGAGCTGAAAAAAGAAGGAAATCTCGCTTTGCCAACATAGAGGGAAAAAATCCAATAAGTAGCCTTGCTTCGTTGTGCTAGAGATTCAACAAAGTGTCTTGCTTTGATGTGGTTGACAAACCAGATCCAACAAAGTATCCTGCTTTGTTGTTCTAGAGGGACCAAATTCAACAAAATTCCTTGTTTTGTTTACCGTAGCCAGTCAAATCAGAGTGGACTCACTTTACGCGTAAATTCAAGTAACATGGACTCATTTTCTTAAAAGTTGACCTGGATTACAATAAGTAGAATCAACTTGTGCATAAAACAGCATAATTTAGACCCTTTTTAAAAAATGTGGACCCAACAGAAGAATTGTGTGGGACTATCGCAACTGTCACAATAGCTGGCTACGGCATTGATCCCTATCCAATTTTGGTTGTATATGTGTGTTTTTCTGCTGTGGAACAGGTGTTTGACTCAGAATGAACCACCTCAGATTTGGTGAATAATTTAGTCTGCTGCTACCTCTTAGTCAATGGTATTATGGCTCTGAATTACTTTTGTTATTTACTAGATTGAGTGATTGTAGGGTGCTTTCCATGCAGTTACAAAACTCAGGTTTTATTCCTGGTCATTAGTTCCACATGGTTATGTGTTGCTGCTATATCGTCATCAGGTACTTTTTTGTCTCCTCATTGCAGAGAAGCAATTCAGATAAAGTTTCGTTTTCAAGGAAACAAGTGAAATGTACAGCAAGGGATGGACACTCTGACCTCAATCTGCTAATTCGCAACCACTTGCCAGTAAAATGCATTAGAAATTTAATGCATATTTTTAATAATAGTTTTATTCTTCTTCACAGAATGTTAAAAGCAGCATGTCTGAGACACAATTGAATTATTGTATTCCAAAAGTTAAAAGATTACCAAGTGAAGGTAAGATGGCTGTTATAAAAGATCATCCTATTAGCAGCTTTAGAAGTTTTTGTGCTTTACCTTTATGTCATATGGTCCTTAAATTTGGACTGTATAAACAAATCTGTTATTAAATATGTAACATTCTATCCACGATTAAATTAAGCTAAATCTATTTATTTAAATGTTTTATTCAACTTCACACTGGCAAAACAGACAGTGAAAATGACACTTAATATATTTACACTGAAGAGAAAGTAGATATGATTTTTTTATATTTAACTTTTGGTTGACATGCATCTGTCAAAAATGTGTGTTTGGCTCTAGCATCTGCTATACTCGGACATATAAATAGTGACATTCACAGGTCAGGGTCGGTTGACATTAAATTTTATTAAAAAAATGATTTTCATATTATTAATATAATGATGTCAATATTTTATTCATTCTGTTCTTATTATTTGGGTTTAGGTTGCAGAAACAAGATTTTACCATTCTCACGGGACTACCATGAAATACTGCAGATAATCAAAGATTCGTTTTTGAGCTCAAATTATGGGTTAGAAAAAAGATGGAACATCTTGTCTGTTGATCAAGTTATAAACGAAGAATTCCAGAAATCTTTCCAAATAAAACGACAAGAATTACGAGAGCTAAACGTTGAAATTGATGAACGATTTGCATTTGCAATTGTCGACACAGAGGAGAAGGCAAATGATGCTTGTCAGAATGGAAACTTTAGCAGTCATGAAATGTTGACCTCTGTGACCCTAGGCAAAAGAACAGATGGCGTTCATGTCTGGATGAACGCTGATTTACCTCTACGATGGGCTGCCTTCAACCATCATCATTATGATTATTATACGTAAATACTTAAACAAATCATTACCAATGATTATACACCTGGCTCTTATACACATCTAGATGTGTATAAGAGACAGGATATGTATATATAAAATAAGAAGTCAAACAAAGTTCTGTATCTGTCTCAAAAATAAAATATTTATTGTACATATATATATATATATATAGTATTAGTGAACTATGGTATGTAGTTTGAAATATGATTGACATATTCGGGTAATATAGTTGCAAGGTACTATTAACACTGCCAGAACTTTTTTTGGTTTTGTCCCATGTGGCAAAACAAGTATACATGTACAAACATACTTTCTTAAATGTTATCAAGTCACATATCATGAAAATGGTGTGTCTAATAAATTGGCGGGAAAATATTAGGGGATGAGTAAACCCGTTGCTGGCAGTGGGACTGTACTTTCTATATTCTCTGCCAAGTGCGAGTCATCATCCACTTTTGTTCAGAGCTGCCCCATTTGTGCAATCTTTTGTACTGCCGGCAATATAACACTACACACATACATACTATATTTGTATGTTATCGTCTATGTGTATCTTCCCCGAACTATCAGCCATTAAGTGTGTGTGGTTCTACAACGTATAACAATGAAGTATTAAAGGCTAGAATGTTACCTCAGTTTTGACGAATATAATCATCCCTAGCGCCCCAGCAACCCCCTGTGGGACGAGTTAGCAGCGAATGTGTGAAGTGATAATGGTATACAGTAGTGGCAGGCTCCAGCAGTTGCCTTGTTCATAGGACTTGACCTTTGACATAAGTAATAACAATGCAAATATCCAGCAAAATTGCTCAAAGCAAAGCATATATTACTAGACTATAAAAACATTTTAACATCAAGAGCTCTTATTACAGTGTTTGGTAATTGCATTCTTTTTAGTGCATGGATAATTGAGTGGGGTGAACTTTGTTTGCAGGTAATGAGAGGTCGAAAAAAACAGATTACTCCAGCTGTCAACAGCAATGTGGAACCTTCGCCAAACTTTGAGTGCCACGTAAGCCGTGAACCATCAAAGGTTGGAGGAAAACTCAATCGGTTAATAAGCTACAACCAGGTAAGGATAAATAATAATAATAATTACTGATCCAGATCCAGATAATAATAATAATAATAATAATAATAATAATAATAATAATAATGATAATAACAATTGTTTGAGTGCGTCGAATGTTGAATTAGCTAGAATAACAAGCTAGGTGTACAGACAAACTCGCCTACGTTGAATCTAAAGTGCCACTGAAATATAGTTCGACTTGGATTAAATTCGACTATTTAAAGCAAAGTCGAATTTTATTCGAGTTATATGACAATAGCAACTTGACTTAGAGAGTTAGGCCTTACGGACACCTGAACAAATTAACATGCACTGACAGTACACGCACGATGTTTACCACACATTTGGCCTAGGCCTAGAACTGTAGAAGTAAAGGCCTAGGCTACCTAAATTTACCTTGAAAGCAGTATTCTTCAGAGTAGCAATACATTACATTCTTCAATTATTACAGTATATTTAAACATTTCGTTAACTGCATCCATGCCATTCTTTTGAATACATTATAAAGAGAAATCGGTCAATACTTAAATTAAAACTTAATCATATAAATATATTTGATAAACTACTGTAACAATTAATATCTTATTTTTGCATGGCCATCAAGCGAACATGTTTTAAATACGATAAATTCGGTTGGAAAATCCCAAAGACCAAACCAATACTTACTAGGTGAAAGTCTTTAATATTATATCTTTCAACACATGTATTAATTGTAAGTAAACCAGATGTGTATACCCCGCTACAATATGGACTGTTAAAAAAATCGGCCACTACTCATGCACGTGCTTGCTTCTCGCTGCACTGCGAGTAGAACAGGCGATGTCCTGCAGATAGTTTGTGCAACGAAGATCGGGAGGAAGATAAAACTACAGTAGCACATTTGTTTTATGACGGGTTATTCCCTATACCTAAATTCCATAAGACATATATTTACAATTACTGTACGTATCTTACAATACAATTTAATTTACTGTATTTAAAAAAGAACTAACAAAACCTGAAACAGTGCTTAAACATTAGTCGCTTGTCGATGTTACCACATGTCTGAACAAAAGTGAGGAATGTGAGTTGAGTCGCATGTAAAATAAACTGCACAAAGTACAGCTATGCAATGTAACTACGAGTCACTTGTCAGGCTTACTTAGCGTGTGAATTTCTGCATTGCCAAATGTATGAGTCACTTGTTGACGTTCACAGCGATGTTGGTAAAGTGGCGACAGCTTAAATGATTGAAGTTTTACGTCAAGATTTTGACTTTTACTGATTGAAGTTTTTACGTCAAGATTTTGACTTTGACTTACGGACTAACAATTAATGGAAAACAGATCAATTTGGCATGTAAAATATATTCGACTTTCGTTTTTATTCAACTTAAATTTATTCGAGTTAGAGCAAATATTAACCATTGTAAATATAGGGAAGATGAAGTGACATGAAAATAATTTCGACTTTGACAATATTTTGACTTAGGCACATTCGACTTAGGCGAGTTTGACTGTATTTCTTTGAAAGCAAAGACATTGCCTGCTGTACTGGGGATGATGAGAATTATTAGAAAGTTTCCTGTGAAAGATAACTGATAACAAAAACCATGGGTAACCCTATCCTCTGTTATGCTACTGCCTTCGTTCCAATATATTGTCAATGAGTGGTGAAAATCCATTAAGGGCTGTAGTTTGGGGGGAACTTTTATTTGTGAGATGTGCTTATTGGAAAGCCATGCTCTTTTCAAAATTATTGCAGTGCTGTATTATGTACTTTATGTACCCAAACCTGTCAAAATTAAAATATGTAACTACACTAGTAAACACTCAAAAATGGCGCTTAGCAAAAACAATGTCTATTTGAAAGGAATTTATAGAACATTTGCGTTTAGTAATGTAATGCTAATCCAATAGTTGATGTTTACACTATTGAATTGTGGTTAGTCAAATTTACACAAATGGGTCCTTGAATGGATATGATAAGTTAATGGATAAATTTCCATTGTTATGGAAACACAATCTTAAGATTAAAGATTATTTTCTATCTAAATATTCTCTTTTGATTTTTTTTTCTCGCACTACAGATTTTTGTTTATGAGTATGATGAGGAATGTTTACCAAGCAAACACCCAAGGCATTGCCATCCATATGCAGTTGTTACTTGTGCGAGTAGGACCCAAATATCTTCAGTAAAGCCAGATATTTCAAAGGCTGCACTCATGACCAAATCAAGGAAAAAAGCCACTGAATCAGTCGAGACACTTAAAGAGAACAGGAAGACAATAATTGACTCCTCAGAATTTATTGTTCTTGATGAATATGTTTCTGAAACATCTGCAAATGAGGCATCATCTGATGATGAACAATTGCAACCCACAATCATATGCCACTCTGAACAGAAAGAAAAAGCTATCAGGTTGAAAGAAAAAATAACAAAACTGACAAATACAGTAAAAAGTTTAAGGAATAGCAAGACCAATAGCAGGCACAACAGAAAAGATAATAAAGACTATGTGCCCCAAGTTGTGAAGAAGAAGATCTGTGTAAAGAAAGAGGCCAATGAAGACAATTTGAAGTTTAAAAGAAATAAAGGTAGAGCTTATAAATGTAAACTGATTAGAAATCGAGCTCATTGGCGGCGGAGGAGAAAATATAAATTTAAAAGCATTTCTTCTACGAATTCATTAAGAAATGTTGAAGCTAATAAGCGTGTAGGGGATTTTGGGCTTGCTGCTGAATATTCAGCAGCATGTAAAATAAAAGAGAGCACTGAGGATAAGGGAAGCAAATGGCAGAGTATGGTCTCAGATGAAACACTTGTTGAGTGTGACGTGAATAATGATGCATTGAAATGTTGTGCTTCTGAACACACTATACAAAATGTATCACTAGAAAAAGCTGATGAAAAAATCACAAACATCCTGGATACTAGCATTAGCAAATCTAACCCTCAAGTTTTTGAGTATAACCATTCACAGATCAATAGTATAGACTACAAACATGGTAGAATTGGGTTTTCATCAATTTATAATTGCAACGAACCTTGTGTCAACTCCTGGAATTTGCCTCTTGAAACTGATGCCATGCATACCAAGATTTCATACCCTGTGGATAGTAGCACCCAGCCTTTGTCTTCTACATGTTCAAACTCTTTTTACCCAACAGATTCAAATCTTGAACTTATGGATATGGATATCAGTAGCCCGGAGCCAAAAGTTTTTCCACATAATAATGTTGACACATTGTGCATTTCAGAGGATGAACTAAGTTTTTCTGACACCGCTAAATGGCATGAAATATGTGATAAGCTAAAAAACCCCATTAGTGTCTACCAAGATAAAAATGGGAGGCTACATGTGCAATACTCACCTAAGGAAGAGCAAGTGCAACAATCATCTACATCATCAAAATTCATAAGTGGAGAACAAGAGAATACATCTGATAAATCTGAAGTAGAAATTAGTTCCTTCATTGAAAAAGGAAACAATTTACAATCACAGAAATGTTTTAGCAAAGATTTGAAGAGAAAAAGGAAACATTCAAAAGAGTTTCATGGAAACAAGCTATTGATAGAACACTCAAACCCTCGTAAGATTCTTATTGAGACACCAGATGGCTGTGAGAAGCCAAGGGATCCTCGTAAAATGCCTAAAGATCCTCGTAAAAGAACTTCTGCTAAAAAGGAAAGTATATTTTCTGTTTTAAACTGGTCTGAGAAATACTCTTCACCAGCATCAATGCAAACTTCAAAGATAGACCAATCTAAACTTTCTGCTTATAATGAGAATGATACTGTTTCAAATACGAAGGAAAGTCCAACATTAACTGAACAATGCCTCACAGTGCAGGGTAATAGTTTATTGAAGAAAAAACATAATTTTGTGCCAAAATATAAACCACCAACATTTTTAAGTGAAATGAAGTTTGAAAGTGAACTAAATAAACAGTTTCCAAAGAAGGTTCTAAAACAACCACAAAATCAAAGTATTATTGGACTACCAAGGAAAACAATAGAAGATCGTTTGTCACTGGATGAAAAAAACCCCAAAAAGAAAGATGACAATCAGTTAAAAATGTCTATGAATTTTTCAAGAGGCAAGTTAACCCATTCCTCTAATCCAGTGACAATCGAAGGACTAGACAAGCCAGTTGCAGATAAAGTTTCTCCAAAACATTTTGAAAACAAAGCTTGCCATATTCCACAAGAATCTAAGATTAGTGAATTATCAGAGAAAAAGGAAACAAGTCTTCTGCCAATTAGTAATAATGAAAAGAACAAAAAACATTTGCTAAAGGGGTCTATTTTGCTGCCACTAAACAAGGATGGTATTTCCTCTTGTAGAAAAAATAGTGATGTTCCACATACACAAACATCAAAGGTTACTTCATTAAAGCAAGTAACCACAAAATCGTCTAAAGACACAGAACAAGTGCCCATCAAGAAGGTCAGTGAAATAGCAAAGGGAACTAAAAAGAACTTGCAGCTTAATATAAAAAAGACCAAAGAGACAAATAGTAATATGCAGGTAAAGAAGTCGCTTGTGTCACCAGAAAAGATAGAGTTTTCCCACAGTTCTACAAATGTAGACTGTCAGCAACTACTGACGAACTCAACATCAAGTGATCCCTTGAAACCCCTTGTGAAAACTCCCCAAAAATCATATACAGGAAACAAAAAAGTACATGAAGTATCCAAGATAACTGAAAATGAACTTAGTACAAATGGCCTTAAAGAAAATGATCATCATCTGTCCAGGAAAAGTCCTCTTCAAAGTGTGCTATCAGACAAGGCAACCACATCTTTGGATACACTTAAAGAATATCTGCATGAACCAAAATCCAAGATCTCAAGTGATTCCTCAAACTGTACTTCGTGGACCTCATTTGAAAAACCATCAAAGGTAAATCAAGCATTTGTTCTTGTCCGTTTTACCAGGAAATGGATGACAAAGTGTGGCTGGGGAACTAAGAAGATGAAACTTGATTCTGAAAACTATCATTTACGTGTGAATTGGATCAGAGTACTTCGGTGGATTGAACTGATGGCTGTACGTTATAGAGAAAATGGAATGTATTGCTTTAATCTTGGCATTGTAGATGTCCGAGTACTTCGCCACTATTTGCAGATGCAGGACCAGTCCTGTAAAGATGCAGAGTTCGCCATTCATGATTTTGATGGAGATGAATTGGAAAACTTGATGACTAATTTATTGCTGGTTTATAAGGCTGAAGATATGCCAAAAGATTTGATTGAAATGGTTTGCCAGCTACAATTGGACAACAGAAAGATTAAGGTTGAAGGGTCAGGAGAGAAATTTACAGCTGTCAATAGGAAATTGAAAAAGATTAGCCAAAAGAAGTCACAAAACCAGCATAAGGAAGATAATTCAGCAAGTAGTAAGGATTCAGGAGAGGGCTCATCCTGTTATAACTCTGGTGAAGATAATCATCAAAGAGATAGTCTAAAACGTTCAAATGAAGTGGATGGTAAATGTAAAAAAGACAGAAAAACAAAGAGGAAGAAATCAATTTCGTCTACTCCCACAACCTGCAATAATGATCATAACGATGCATTCATTTCCAAACATCAACTTTTGGAAATATTGGCACATTTAGAGAATGGAAAGGGAAGCAGGAAAAAAATAACTGTAAATGTCTACAATATTTGCTCTGATTGTGGTGTAAAGAAAAACCAGCATATTGAGATTGAGACAGAGTCTGATGACAGCTCTGATACACCAGTGTCAGATCCTGAATCTATAGAGATGCACATAGCAGAGAAATTGTCACTTAGCAATGAAGTAGAGAGTCAGAAAGTCAGCAAGGAAAATCATGAAATATGTAAAAAACCAGAAGTGACAGATTTTGATTCCATGGAGATAAACATGACAGATCAGTCATCAGATAGCAATAACATAGAGGAAAAAGAAGTCAACAAAAATGGAATGCATGAAATGAAATCACCAGAAAGAGATCTTGAATTTATGCAGACTAACAAGACAGAAAAATTGTCATATGAGGTAGAGAATCCAGAATTTAAGAAGAAAATTCAAAAAATGTGTATAAAAACACCATTTGCAGATCTGGAGTCCATGGAGTTGAACATTGCAGAGCAATCATTACATAATAATGAGGTAGAAGATCAAGAAGTAAATATGGAAATTCTTGAAATGTATAGAGAACCACCAAATGCAAGTCTTAACATGGTGACGAACATGACAGAGGAGTCATGCAGCCAAGTCGTCACTCAAGAAATCAAGAAGGGAAATAATGAAATCACGTGTAACAAAACACAAACAAAAAATCTTGAATCCATGGAGATGAACATGACAGAGCAATCACCAAACAGCAATGAATGTGAAGGTCAAGAAGTAAAAGTGGTAATTCTCAGAATGAGTGAAGAACCACCAGATGCATCCATGGTGATAAACATGACTGAGAAATCATCATGTATCGATGAGGTAGAAGAGATTTCATTCAGTCATTTCTTCATTTCGTAAATAATGGCCTCTGGCCCATTTTACAAATCACATGTTTATATGTAAATAAGTAGATAGACAATGTATTTTTTGGAAATTATAATTTACAAAAATATCACTGAGTGAAAATATGTTTAAGTCGGGAATTTACAGTATTTCTTTCCGGGCCATTATAAAAAGAACACACAAACAGGAAATGGGTTTCGTCTTCTATAAACACAATTATCGGAAAATAAACATATTCTATTTTCTCTAGTAATATTCATATGACGAACTCTTTCTATTAATAAATTATGGTTTGACATAAAAATTGTTGTTTTTAGTTTAAAATTTAAATGAAAAATATGTTTGTTAAGGGAATTTGGTATGCTAGTGAGCAATAAAATGTTAATCTTATGTTATCTTTTATCATTTCATTTCCTGTTTGCAGTGCAATGTCCCGAACTCTCTCTGAAAAAATTGCTAAGAAATTCTCATTTACAGGCGAGTCCCACATATACCCAAATCCAAACATATTTAAAATCGATTTTATACTAAATGCCCAACAGTCGGTTCTGTTTTTTATCCAGTAACTTATCATTTTAATAACGTGATAAAATTGAATGGGGAACCTTCCCAATTCATTTCTTATTCCTTCCTTTGGAGCGGACCGCTGGACATTTAGTACAAATTTACAATGTCTTAAATAAACGTTTTCTATAAATTTCAATTATTATACCCCCAAAGCTCACTACCATACAATAGCATAGGCATTATTTGTTTGTTAAAAAGTTTTAATTGTATTTCCGCAGATAAGTAAATTAAATGTTATACATTTTCTTTCTGAGACTAAACATGGCTCTTTCTCCCTTCTCTGCTTGATGCTCCTACTTTCCATGTGCCCTTGTTATTAAAATGAAAACCAAAATATTTATATTCTTTAACCACTTCTAATTCTACCCCATCTACAATCCATTTTTATATCTACCATCACTGCCCCTTTTCGAAATACAGTACTATAATCTTTGTTTTTGATTTATTTATTTCTAATTTATTTGTAATACAATATTTTTGAAGACAATTTAATTGTTTTTGTAACCCAATTTTGGTAAAATAAAATCTTCGGCATATAATAAATGTGAAATGGTTTGATTATTTACTGAACAAAAATGTAAATCGTTTTTTACTAGAGCGTCTTTGAAATCATTTTGAAAAATAATGGTTAAACAAGTAGCCTTGTTTCAAACCTCGTGCACATTCAATGTCATTTGTTACAGTAAACCATGCTTAGTTTTTATTTTGATTTTTGTGTCTAGAGTCTAGAAGCCGAAACACCACCAGTAACAAATCTCAAATCTAAGGAGATGAACATGACAGAGAAATTGTCACATCAAAATAAAGAAGAGTGTAGAGAAGTTATGAAGGGAATTCATGAAATTTATAAGGAACCACCAGCAACAGATCTTGATTTAATGCAGATAAACACGACTAATATATTGTCGCATAGCAATGAGGTAGAAATTATGGACGGCGAAAAAGGAATTCATGAACCACCAGCAGCAGATCTTGAACTCATGGATATGAATATGACAGAGAAATTGTCACATGGCAAAAGGGTTGAGAGTATAGTAGCCAAGAAAAGTATTCATGAAAATTCAAGCGCAAATGAAGATGAAAATTGTCATCACTCAAAATCATTGACCTCACAATCTGTCACAAATGCTCATCAAATGCTTATGGTTACGAATAAAATCAGCAGTTCTTCAACCAACAACCCAACTTTAAGTGATCATCAACACATTGAAGAAAGGCAGATTACAAATGTATCTGAAAATCTAATGGAAGAAGATTGCATGCAAAAGTCAGCTTTTAAACCTTCACAGGAGCCTGAATCATCAGTGACAACCAAAGATCCAAATAGTGATTCAAGTTGCAGACCCTACTACAGATCAGAAGCCACTGTTCGTGCCACAGAACAAATTGAAAATCAACCTGAACATGAAAAGACAAATAAACATTCCTGGGACACTAATACAATATCAAAAGCAGATGTTAGAAGTAACAAGGATTCATGTACCAGACACATAACATCTTTGAATATTGAACAGTCTGAGATCAGACATAATGTTAATCTGCAACATCATGATAAACGACCATGCCCTTGGAAAAGATTACCTGAAGACTTACCAGCATTAAATTCTCGGAGTGAAAATAATTTTCATAAAAAACAGTCAAATATTGAGACAATAGCTCATGCTAGAAGGCCACACACCTGTTCAAAAGACATGCAAAGACCCTTAGAAGCTAATTTACAAGGTAATAAAACTGATTTAAGATATCGCCTACAGAAGAGCCAAAAGCGCAGATGTTTTGATGTAACTTTAAAATCTCCTGTTAAGAAGCATAAGCACTATAGAAATCCTGAAAGAAGACCAGAAGTTAATGTCAAAATGAAAAGCTCCATTCAAGTGGTAGATACTTCCCATAGGAGAATGAAAGATTCTGAATATAGAAATGGGTTACACACTAAAAGACCTGTTGCCGAGCTTTGTGACCCACGAATGGACAAACCAGTAAACTATAGAGATTCCTCAGGAGGTAGTCGTAAAGACTATAATCACAAGAGGGCATCCTTTGAAAGCAGCACTGCTGCAAGGCCATATGGAGATTATCGGTATGAAGATCATAATCCAGATGCAGATTGGTACCAGCTTAGTTCCAGAAATGCGATGTGGGATGACAGAGATTATCCAAATCATGATTATGCAAGTTTCATTGCTGAATGCAAATCACAAGGTATGTACTATGATCGTTATAGGCGCGAGTACGATCGTGAGCAATATGAATGGCAGTATTTCTATATGTCAAGATCCTCTTTCAATTAGATTGTATTAAGTACCATAATTTCATTTTTTAGGTTTTGTTTTTTTTAATTTTTTATCTTAAGAAACTGTTGCCAGTAAAACAGTTTTTTGTTTAGTCAGATCAAAATTATAGAAAATTATTGTTAAAACAGGTACAGTCATACTTTGAAAAAGATAAAATAATTTGTCATTAAAATGTGGTATTGGCAGTTTTCACCAAAATTAAGACAAATTTTTATACATTTCTAATATATTGAAACCTTTATAAACTAATGTGTTCATTGATTATTGGAATGTACAAAAGATGAGGCATGTTGTGGCGAAATGGTTAAGTTGTTGCACAGGCCAGTACTGAGTAAATGAGCTATAAAATATGGGAGCTCAAAAAATTGCCTAAGTATCCAAATTTGTTTTTCACTATAGATCAATAGTTTAATATCTTATTAATTAACGTTATTGTGATAGTTAATTCTATTAAACAATGTATGCACAAATAACTTTTAAAAGCAATTACTCAAAATCATGTTTATCTTGACTCTAAGAGTGCTTTACTTTTCCATAACTTAGGCTTGAAATGTCCAATTTCAATGAATGACGCTTCATTTTAAAGATCGCATAATCAGGTATCTCAAAATACCAATAACTTGAATTTCAATTTTTGCTACAACTTAGCCATTTGCCACAACATGCCTCAGATGTTAAGAAAAGAAAGAAAATTGTTGTACTGCTTATTCATTATTACTATAAACACTTCCACAACAGCAAAATAATAATGCACCGATTTTGGCTTTTATTTATAATGAATTTGTATCTTTATTGTGTCTGAATACAATGAAATCTGACAAATTATCCTGCGTAATTTTCATTTTTATATATTTTTCATTAACTTTTTTTATCTGAATTTTTATCATGTTAATTATTTGATTTTAGATAAAATTTATAATATAATGTTTGGATTAATTAGTTAATTATTTACAAGTTTTCTTATTGGCATCTTTGCGAGGAGGGGGTAGGGAAGATGGAAATATTTCAGTGCTAGCAAGATGCTGTAGGAGTAGAGAAAGTTTGTGAATACAAGTTTTTCAATAGTTTCAATTTTTGTTCACATTAACTGCTCATCTTTTTGTACCAGTTATCAAACTGAGTTGTCATGCCTTTCATCAAAATTTATCTGTTTTTTAATCTTTGTGTTTGATTAACAAATTTTTCAGTTTTATTCACTGCATTGTAACATCAGTAGTGTATGACGGAAGACAAGGTGGGGTACAGGGAATTTAGGCTTCAACTCTGGCCAAAAATGTTTTTTAAATTGTATTCTTCTGACATAGAAAATTTTAATTTGTCTCAGAATTGCTTAAAATGGCCCAAAATTGTGAAGTTTTTTTCCTAGATGAACCCACCAAGGCTACTCCCCTAGATTCTCTTGTCAAAAGTCAGGTCCAAAAGCCTATGTTGAATGGTGCGGGGGAAACAGACACCTTAGTTGCTGCAGGATGCATTAGAATATGTAAAAGGTATATTGAAGCTTGCAGAACACTACAGCCCTATGAAACTTGAAATGGCGTGGGATAAGTACTTCCCACCTGCCCCTTCACACACCTCACCAAGCTATGAGTTTTTGATAAACCTTATGCTATGTCTGTTTTTCCTGTAACTCTTTAGATCTACAACATATTCAAAGTAGAGGCAATCAAGGAAAACATCAGGAGCTCTACAACTTGTATCCAGACAGTACACTCTGAGCACTATAATCTGTACTTTCCTTTAATTGGGTTTCATCCAGTCAAATCATCTGTACTGTACTCTTTTTTCATGTGTCATTACTAATTTGCATATAATTACAATTACTAATATTAAAAAGCTAAGACATTTATGCTTATAACACTAATTTATTATTGTGTCCACTAATTAGTATTGTTTGTTATATAACCACAATTAATGTCATTTGATTTTTTAAAATTAAGCTGTTTTCGGTTTTTTTAACTTGCAAATTTGTTTCATTGGTTATAATGTTATATGTTGAATTAATAAGCAGATAAGCTATCTATAATCAGAAAAATAACAATAATGAATTGTTAATTTGTTGTGTGAAAATGTTTTATTTATCTATACTATTAAGTGATGTAATTATTCCATAATACTAATAGTGTATTATTCTGCTCCTAATTTAATACAGGGTGTTCTTTGACCTAGAATCTAAATATCTATTTAGTACCAAATCGGCCACACAATATCAAACTTTTTTTATGCTGTTACCTTGAGTTATGATCTGTAAACTATCCATGCATTAAATTAGTACAGCTGAACTAGCATATAGCCAAGTACTCACTGTGGCCGACGCAACGCCGTGACCCGTTTTTTTGTAATGACGATTAAGTTCAGATTGCCACCGGCAATCAACAGGCAGCAACGCGTCATCTAACGCTTGCGTAAAGTGGAGTTGGATTCATCGGCTGACGGTCGTACAACACAGCGAGTGCCCGGTTAAGTCGACTTTGCCTAACTTAGATTTGACGTGCTAAATGGTTATGTTTCCCATTAACGAACTGTAAGTCGAATTTTATCGAAGTCAAACAATTTTTTTGGATTCGACTTGTAGGCAAGTTCAACTGTATTGTTAGAATAATGGAGAAATGTAAAATGTTGTTTGTATTTTGTTTCAAATTATAAATAGAAGTAATAAAATGAGTACATAAACATATTCGAACATAACAGTATTTGAGATTTGTGTAAAGAAACCTTGAGGAAAAATGACAGGTGTCTAAAAATAGTCTACAAAAGAACATAAAATAAATATAAAAAGGTGCTTATTAAATTGGTAACTGTAGAAATATATTATCTAGACATTGAATATACTGTTTACATTACTACAGGGTATCCTGTACAGTAGGCTCATTTTGTTTTGTAGCTAAGTTCAAGTTGATCATAAAAAATCAATTAAAAAAATTAAGATACCTATTTTTTATATTACGTTTTGCATCTTTCTGTTTCCAATATGTATACAATAAAGATATGTTTTAGAATAAATGTATTTTAATTATGTTAGAGTGTGCATATTTAGGAGCTTTATATTAAATCTGGAATTTTCATACTTGTACAATGAGGTTCAAATAAAAATTGTATTGTATGTGCAAATGAATTTATTCTATCAAGATTTCCAGTTTCATGTATTCCTTCAGGCCCGTATGCAGGATTTTTATTGGGTGGGTGCTCTGGGGAGTGGGGGAATTTGTAGAGAAGCCCGGGAAATACCACCTGAGCCCCACCATGTTTAGGGCTAAGGGAATAAAATTTATGATTATGGCACCTCCAAATGGCCGGAAACTGCACTCATACAATTTAAAATATCATTTCTATTTAAATGCGAGGACGGGGTGACTAGGCCTCCTTAAATCCTCCACTGTTAGCAGCGAATCCAGGAATTTGAAATAGAGGTGCAAGGGAAAGACTTTCACAGATTGAGGGTCTATAACACCTCAACCCGACCATGGTTGGAGCTGAGGTAAGAAAATTTATACTTATGGGACCTAGATGGTCGGAAATGGCTCTCTCAGACTTAATTATTAAAAAAAAAAGAAAAGAAATTTACATTCAGACAAATTTAAGGGGGGGTGATATGTGGACCTTTGGTAATTTGAGGGTTGCGTACGCACCCGTCGCACCCCCTGTGTACAGGCCTGTCCTCGCATCAATTTTGGCTTCTGTTATTATTTATTTATTCTTTCTTTAGACTCGTGCACTTTCAGTGTTTAGTTACAAACCAACCATCAAAATAGAAAGAAGATGATACAAAAATAAATTAAAAAAAAATTAAATGTAAAACTTAAATTAATAGAATGTTGGAATGAAACAAAGGTTATTTCTTTAAAGTCAATTTTTTATTTCATTTGGAAATTCATTCCAAATTTTTGATGCACGATATAAGAAAGTTCTTTTACCTTGGCAGATATTCCAATGTGGTACAATTAAATCATGCATTTTGCTGCGTGTGCATTTTGAATGTACATCGTGATTAAAAATAAATTTGGATATTAGGTATGGAAGGGTATGCCCTTTTAAACATTTAAAAGTCAAGAGTTAATTGTTCATTCTATTATACATTGGGTTTTCTCCAATTAAGGGAACTTAAAATATAATCAATGGAGGTGTTAATATCAACAGAAAGAAAATCCTAACCTATTCATAAGGACTTGAAGACAATTAGTGTTTTGGATACTACAATTTGACCCGACAAAAACAACAATGATCAAAAAAGACGAATTACTAATACATTAGCTAACATTTTAAGAGTATGTAAAGGAAGGTAGTTTTTAACACGACGAATGACACTAATACGTTTTGAAACACTAGAGGACACTTGATTAATATGGTAATTCCAAGGTACTGTATTCAATAGATTAAATTAACAAACAAAATTGATGACAGTTGTCGCTGTACAAGGTGAAGATATGTAGTGGATCAAACCTCTGTGAAATATCCTCACTGAGGACGGTGCCGCCAGAAATTGGCCGACAAGGAGTGAGACTTGTCTGAGGATTTAGTCGTGTGTTGGAGGCGCCACCACTGATCATGCCCCCTCTAAATCAGCTTGCGCCCCTCTAACCAGTGGGAATTGGCTGAGCACCTAATTATGCTGAAATTGTTAAAAAAAATTGCCTATGTTACGAGCTAATATCCTCATTTATCGAGGACCCCTCATCTTATCAGTAGGATGTTTAGAACAGAATGCATTATATTACGCAACACAATGACTTCAATCATATAAACTTTAATTTATGCACAACAAAAGCACTATTAGTTAAAGAACTTTGTTTATATATGTATTTAACTTCACATATGAATGGAAATCACCATTATTATCTTCGTTAGCTGGCTCAAAGTATTTTGTAAGTGTCCCTTTTTATGTTTTAAAGACCCATTGATTGTCTGCCTTTTCTTAGACATCATCATATCAAATACGACTAATCATAAACTTACCTCGCTTATTTCAAAACAATTTTTTTCAATTTCTCTTAACATATTAAATTACTGTTGATCTTCCAATTGCTATATACCATACTAAAGAATATTAATTGGATTAAAGCAAAGAGTGTCAAATATAAACCATGAGCTTCACTTCCCATCTAGAGAATTCTGTCTCCATGAGGGACAGTTACTGAATCCTCCTGAGCCTCCTACCAAGTGTACACTCTTTGGTATTCTTATCGTAGGAACTATACTTAATACATTGTAGCAAAAATAGGAGTATTTACTTTCTTAAAAATGCATCTTATTTTACAATTTTACATACCTGTACTGACCAACAAATAAGTGTACTGTATAATTCTCTATATCTTATCCACAGGGGAAACAAACAAAATGCATGAACAGTGATATATATTGTTCAGGGGAACTCTTGTTAGGTCTTAAGCTGGGCATGCCCAATAGTTGGCGGCCGACAGAATTGTATGTAAAAGGCAATGACGCACAACGGATTATTTTTTTAATGACAATTTGTTCAGACTGCCAAGTACAATCAGAAGATGATGATGCATCGTCTAGTGCTGATTCGGTCAGCATTTCCAAAATAATTATATTAATTTATTAACACTCTAATCAGTTTAATGCTTCTGATATGTGCACTCAATGTGAATATATGTACCTCACAGTATTGAATAAATTATCATCATCTTAATACTGTAATCAATAATAATCAATATTTTAATGCATTGTCATTATGACTGAGTTTGCCATTAAATACTAAGAAATTGATATCAAATAGTATTGTGGTCCAGGCTACCGCATACTGATCAGCGATTAATCATCTAATCATCATATATTACTTGGCATATGGAAACTTGAACTTTGAACTAGACAAATAAACAGATGTGAGCCAGATTCTTTAAATCCTACAATTATGTATTGATTATTGTACTTTTGTTAATATTAATATTAATAAATTGCCTTAACCATTCTTCAAACAATATGTTAAGCATGAAAATATTTTAATTTGTACTTAAGTAATTAATAAAAGTGTAATAAAGAATTGTAATCTAAACCGGTAATCAGTTATTTATGTGGAAACCAAATATATTCACCGGCTTCAATTGCATACATGCGTGCACCATCTTAAACAACTTTGTAAGTAACCAATAAGAGAGAGAGAGAGAGAGACAAATTGAAACATTATTAATTAAAAGACCTATTTGATATCAAAATATAAGACTTCTTTCTATGGACAAGATCAAATAGTTCCCCACTGTGCTTCACACTATTGTAACCCGAATATTAAATTACAGGGAGAACATATATTGATTAGTTTTATCAGGAATTATTTTTGTTACGGTATAAAGACGGATACTATTAATCATTCTCCCGTTGAATTCCTCTTTGAAGTAGCACCAATGAAAGCATCATCCACACTACCATGTGAACTATTTGATGGTGTAGCCTCCTCATCAAACAATGAGCAGACACCAGAGTCATGTCTGTTCACGGAGTTAACCAGTGTTACGGTGGGTGAACAGGCCGTGTGGATCTCCCAATCTCCGCTACCGTCATGCTTCACCGAGTGTTTCCTCTCTTGCCAGGATAACAGTCGGTGCGTTAGTTCAACATTTTCACTTTCAAATAAAGCTTTCACCTCCTTTGGACCTTCACAATCATCAAATATGTCCTCGTCTGTGGACTTCTTTCTTAAAATGGGAGACGTCGGTAATGATAAAGACTTCCTACGATTCTTCATTTTGAATTCAAAATACTGTTCGTCCAGATCAAGTTGTTTGAACATTGCACTTAATTTTGGTGGTATATCCAGCTCAAAACCGCAAGGACTGGATACTATCTTTGTATGACCGCCTTTCAATTGAGGTGTGTCAAATGGATTGCTACTGTTTTTGGTTAACACTTGAGGGCGCTCTGCATGCTTACTCAATCTTGCAGAATTACTCCTTGCCAATGGAAAGTTTTTAGGATTAACTTGTCCAGGTGGTACATCCAAATGGCTGATAGATGTATGAGAGCGTTGCTTACCACTCAGTTCATCTGAGAAAACATTCAATCATAATAATCAATCAACCCATATGTACAAGAGTCTTATATCTGTCTCTTATACACATCTAGATGTGTATAAGAGACAGCTACAAGCGATCAATTTTTTTTCTTTTTCTTTCTATTTTCCCCCCTTTTTTTTACCTGATATATATTCATGCTGAAGAAGACCCGTAGATGGGTTGAAATATTCATTTTTCGAATAAATTTTGTGTTATTTTTCTTTCTATTTTTTTTTTAACCTGATATATATTCACGATTTCGTGTACTAAATCTACCAAGTTATTGTCACCTTATCGTGTGTTTCATTTTATTTAAAGTCGAACATTATATGAATTTAATTTTCTAAATACTTCAATTACAAAAATTATAATTTCTATTGTTGCCATGTACTCACTTTGATTTCTAAATCTTTCTAAATTCTGATTGGCTCTATCTTCTCTCATTTTCTCTAACACCTTATGTATCATACCTGAGATCTGTTCAAAACTTGGTCGCTTTTCATGTTCCATCTAAAATAAAATGAAAATCAGTCAAATGAATATTTACTAGTACTGTACTTTAAATAATAACTAAGAATTATGAGGATTCCAAAGCTTGAAATGCACAGGAAAAGCTAAGAATGAGTCTAAAAACATTATTTTAACCATCATACTACCTTTCATTACTTCTCATGTTACCAGTGAGTCATTTTTTAAAGGCAGGTTTCCGAAGGCAAAACAATTTTTGGATTATGTTGAACAACTGAATTTTCTTACGCGAATCATCAGAGGAGTGCGGGAAAAAGCTAAAAATAAAATTTTATTTTCTTATTTAGCAAATATTTTTGCCAAAAAACATCCAGACGGAGGAGAAAATATGAATAAAATTTTATTGGTGAATTTAAACAGTGCAGTAATGAGATGGTTAAATGCTTTAAATTTATATAATTAGGAAAAAATATACGTATCTTATTTTGGAGATTTCAAGTTAGCGGCGGATGGAATAAAAAAAAAAAAACTTTTCTGAAATATATATTTTTTTTGTGGCAGCAGGTGCCCTTATTGGCCAAAAATAAAATCTTATTTTTATTCAAAATTATCATTATTGGCAGGTGGCGGGTTCGTTAAATAAGGTAAGGTATGAAAAAGTCTTAATGAGATACGGATTTTTCCTTGATTCTGTGTTTTTAAGTTTCCATGATGCTGTTTTGTATATTAATATTTTTTTTACCCATTTGAATAGTTAGGCACTGTTTTCTTTGTAGAGAGCAATATAAATACTTTAATAAATAGATTAGAAAGTGTATTTGGAGGTAGAGGATTTAAATGAAATGAATGAATGAAAGTATTGACATGTATACAGTAAATTAACAAAAAACAACATACCTGACAACATGTAAATGCCAACTGAAGAAAGGAATCAGGACAATCTGAAGATAGGCGTTTGAACCCAACCTCATCCAGAGCAAAATTCTAAAAAAAAAAACAAAAATAAAAATTATAATTATTATATTAATTTTTTAAAGAAAAAAAAAACTATATTTATAGAGGGAAGACCTTTAAGCTTGTAATAAAAGGTAAGCAGATATTCAGGGGCCAACTTAAAAAAAACATGACAAATAATCATAGTACAAAAAATAACTTTACAATTAAGGTAATATTTTAATAAGATCATGTAATAGGTTTGACCAATCAAATGTAAAGTTTTACCCCAAGCCTTGGCAACCAGTTTGGATGTGCTTGTATCCTGGCAATGGTTTGGCACAAGATAATACCAAATGAGAATACATCAGCCTATTGAAAACAAAAAATGAAGAGTTAAATTACCAGAAGCATGGTTCTCACGAAAGCCCTAGTATCCGGATCAGGAGCTAACCGTTAGCGCTAACCATTAGCACCTGCGTGAGAACGCCTGATTGGTTTGCGCTAACTGTTAACGGTATCCGGATACCGCTAACGGTTAGCAAGCGCTATCAGTGAGCGCGTTTCTATCATCAACCAATAACACGTACGGGTTTACAATTTCCAGTTTCTTATTGGCCATTGATTCGATCATCATATTTTTGGTATCCAGATCGGGATTTTCTTGTATGGACGCATGGCAGCTAACGGTTAGCAGAATCCGGATCCTGCTAACTGTTAGCAGCCGTGTGAGAACATAGCCTTATTTAAATTCACACAATTATTTAATCTATTATCGATTTATTTATCTTAAAATAGTAGCATAAATGAAATCAACAAGCCACTGGTGTTCGCATTCGCAAATCATTTTTATCATCCGTTTAAGTTGATGCAAGTACATCAACATCCTTTTTTAATGTACCTTTTCATTGTAGAACTCATAGCGCAAACACTCTGGGGCCATCCAGTATGGAGATCCAGCCATTGAGCGTACTTCATTATTTCTAAACAAGATAAAATAATTAATAAACTAACAAATGTATGAGAATAACACTGATATATAAAATGTTAAAATCTAAAAACTTATAATAAAAATTACCACTTTTTATAATAACCACCATCACATGTATTATTATAGAGTTAAGAAACCGGATTAATTTTCAGGAATTTTTACTAAAATTTTTACTATCTATCATTATTATTAGTAAATTGATAGAATATGTGATTGGGCTGTTTGGTTCTGACTTGTGAAATGTAAGAAGAATTACGAAGGTTTCTACCATGACACTAAAATCTGGAAAGGGTAATACATTCTTTTTTTAAATCTAAGTTTATAAGACCAGTTTCGCATTTCATATTGTAACTTGTAAATAAATTGAATTTTAGCAATGTAAGAAAAGAGACAAATATGAAATATCCTAAACAATACACAACAAAAATAAATTTCAGAAATGCCATAAATTGAACAATTGTAATCAATATAGAAAAAAGAAACATTGCAGTCAATACAATAGTAAAGCATGGACTCATGATAAAGCGAAATTGTTGAGATAAATTATTATGTACATTAAAAGGGTAATTAAAAAATAAAATATACAATTGGAAAAGTTAATTTTATATACATCTCAGCATCACAATCTCATTCGCTTTACACTACTTAAAACTGGGGATAAGCTCCAGCGCATGTGTTCTGTTGCTCGTCAAAGACTTAAAGCATCACATGATTTGAAAGCATCGTCTCACCTTGGTATCGTTGTTGCCAAACCAAAATCTGCAACGACTCCTTGCCATCTACGCCCTTCTTTACGCACCAACACATTCTATATCAACACAAAGTGATAAATTACGGTATTACCTTTTAGTATTCTGTACTAAAATGTTGCCCATTATCTAGAAATCAATTAAACTTTAGTATAAAAATGAAAATACTTCACATACAAAGAATATACACAATGTTAAACATTATCTGAATGGTCAGTTAACTGTAAAAAGAATGTAGATGATAGGATTAAATTGTTGAAAATGCCCAAGGGGATTGCTAATGACATTTGCAAATTATCAGAAAAGACAAATTAAATATTTGCATGTTAAAAGTGAGATCCTATTTGTAAAGCCACTAATGCATGGACTGATAATTTGCTTAGCGTAAATGAAACCGCACATGAGCTTGTAATTTATACTTGTGGTTGTACGAAAGATGTCAACCAATTTAGAAAATTACAGTTTATTATCTTTCAATTGAAAATTACAAAGAGGACAAATTTCTCGCCAATAAATGGATGTATATGTAAATATTGTTCCTGTATTCTTGCGCATAGACTCTTAAATTTAAATTCTTGTACCCGAATCACAGACCTGTACTAAATATTAAACAAATTGACGAAGGGTATAAAGTATTAAAGTAAACTTTATTCCATTTAAATAAAACAAACAAAATGTACATTTCTGATTGAAGAATAATGGAAAAGGAAGCTCAAATAAAGCAAAGATTACAATCTGAGACCCTTGTAAAAGAATTAATACATATAATTAAGATTTAGGAAAACACTATAATTATATTATAAAAATGCTAAACAATAAATAAATAAATGAATAAAATACAAAAAAAAAAATAATAAAATATAATAAATAAATAAATGATTAAAATGAAAAAAATACACAAACATCATAAATATTATATTTACAAGGTAAGTACTTAAATTAGATATATAGACCTAAAGATGGACTATTGTGACATTTTTGCAATGAAATAATTAATTATACTTTTTTTTAAGAGTATACCGGTCGTAAAAACACATAATCCTTGTAAGAATGCTAAAAAAAAGACCTTTATGTCTGTGCAGATGGTAAAAGAACGCAATTTATCTTCCACTTTGGCGTCGCATGTATCTCCATTGTCTGCGCATCAATGGTACCGATTTTTAACAAGGTTTGTATTTAGTTGTGTGAAAGCGACAAATCTTGTTACACTGTAGGGAAATATCCCTACTAATGTTCCTGCTAACATTTTCTGCCGTGTAAATCAGGTTTATCAGTTTATGGACTTGATTTTTTCAAATAAACAATTAAATTTTTGCTTGAATTTCTGGAATTTTCCTAGATCAGTAGCCCTAGCCGAAATTATTATGCCTCGGCTTTTGGCCTAGCTTATATCATGCCTTGTGCCGAGACGTACATTTATTTTTACCTGATCGATTTGTAAAGCATGCTATTTTTTGCTGATGTTTTTAAGGCATACAAGACTACAGTAATATATTCAGTATACAACGTGTACTCCGTGGTGTGCGGGAACATGCTGCTTATATTTTGTTGACGTGACCGTGAAGCATGGGTGGTGACCTAACGAAGCTGCGAAACAGAATGTTTCTTTTGCAGCCTAAACGCGATATTTTTTAAATCTGAGCACTGTGGTATAGATTAACAGAGGGAATTAATTTATGTGACTTAAGTGACTCACAAAACAGGTACAGATTTTCGGTAGTATTTGGCTGTTTTTTGCTTTGTTATCCAGCCTTGAAAAGTAGCGGAATATGGTCGTGACATATAGAAACATCAGTGTATGAGATATGAGCACATTTCTGCCAGCGGTTTCAGAGGAGATAAGTGAACTTACACTGGAACGATAAGTTGAATTAATACATACCCGGTAGATATTATTCTTATTGGTATTGGTCACTTATGCAGGACACTTCTCTTCTTACAGTGTTTTTATTATTTAATTCAATTAAATTAGTAAATGTTTTTTTTTTATTAATATAGGTACGGTATGTTTTATCTTGTCCTTGTTTGGAGGTTTTGATTGAATTTGAAATTTGCATATTTTTAAATATCAACAATTAAAATTGTAAGCATACAACGTTATTTGATAATCCACTTTTATTTTAACTTTTAAACACATAATATTATTAGTGGCACTTATGAAAAATAAAGTGCACTTTCTTCAGCATATAGCTGGTTAGATAAATGTCAAATGACATAGTAATCAATTTAGAATTATTTTACGACATTGAATGTATGATGTTAAATTACACAGAAACATTTTTTTTCACAGAACTAATACTAATACTATATGGAATTATTACATTTACTAAATTTAGAATAGTCAAGTATCATCATATATTTTTTTTCATATTTAGTTTACAGAGACACTGCAAAGGTCCCTGGAGACAACAAAGATATAGAGTTTGTAATTGAATACTTTGTTCTATATCTACAGTATATAATCATTTCAGGAAACATGATGCTTTTGGAATGAGAATCACTTTGTGTAAATTCAAACATTTTGTACATATTTACGCTTAGTTGGATTTTAAAACTGTATCATGGTATAAAAGACAGGCTTTTAACATACTATGCCTAAAAGCATTAAAATCCGTTATAAGGAGAAGTAGCGGATAGCACAACACTTGAGTTTCTGTTCAGGAGAGCTAAAACCCTCAGAGACAAACAGTCGAATGCAATGCTGCTTAAATGTCAAGTTCTAATTTCTGTGTGTTGGTAACAGGAATAAATTAAATTTAAAATTTATAAATGCTAATATGGATTATGTTAACAATGAGAGCAGTGTGTAGTTTATTGGCTGTGTAAATTAATTACACTTTGTTTTTTTATAAGAACCATTACAATTTGCCAGGCTCAAAATGTCCTTATTTTGTTTTTGTTTTAATACACATTTTTCAAACATAGAAAATGATTATTGTACAGTCAGTATATTTACTGTACTATATAAAGATTACATAGTCACACTTATTGCACATGAGGTAAATATAAGATTTGTTTACCTCATTTCACATTTTATTTTACTTGAGCCTCAATTTCGGCCTCAGTCTTCTTCTAAGCGGGCACTGGATCATTGCTATCAAACTGATTGTATTGTTGAAAATAAAGTGGAATTGTAACTTTGTGGTTAAGATGCTTACAGTGTCCTGAATTCAAATCCGATAATGACAATAACATTATTTTCTCACTACTGAAAAGAGTTCTGCTACCTAAGCCTTGAAATAAAACTTAGTTTTAAAAGCATTGCATTATTACATTTAAAAGCCCTTAATATTGCCATCCTTCTAGAATAAGGGAAAAAAAACCAAGCAGAATATGCAAGGTGTTGCCACACCGATAACAATTATTTAATTTACCGGTAACTTGGATTCTAGTTGTACAAACATAGTTGTTGGATGTGATTGTTTGTTGGTACATGTTACAGCTTTATCTTTTTTGATTTAGTTGTTCAGAAGCATGCAGTGTGTTTTGAAATTCACAGTTGAGTGGACTTAATCATTATCAAAAATACTGTCAAAACATACTACAAGTTGTAGTGAGCGGTAGAGGTCTAATGGTGTATAATAGACCATATCTTTTTGTGTATTAATAGTGTCAAATTTTGTAGTTTTGCATAAGCACATTAAAATGTGGAAATTAAGGTCGGTTGGCATTTTTTTGTGCTATGGAGCTATAAAAGTGGTATCCCAGCATACATTACTCAGGATAAAGCTGTATTATTTAATGTTTAAGAAGAATAAACTTTAATATTCATTTCAATTATTTATTCACCATACCATCCACCAGAATATATAGTTTTCAAATGTAAAATTTTAACTTGTTGGTTTCACCAACTCCCTGGTTTCATTATCACTGTAGGACCATAAGACGATTCTTTATGAGTGATGCTTAGCTGGAGGGCAAATGCACTTAAAAGGGTCTACAGCATTCCATTTCCTCAACATCATTGAAAAATAATCTCCAGATTTTTGTAATTCTATCTATAGAAACTGACATTCTATTGATAATAGCAACATTTCTATGGCAACATGAACATGTTTGCTACTGTTATCAAGAGGTTCGCTGTCTGAGAATATCTTTCAAACGTTTTCTCATCATACTTGCTGCTGGACACTTATAGCACAACAAAAACAATAATGTGTGCTAAAAGTTAGTGGAGTTGGGATGAAAAGGGTTGAGTACATTGATTTGGTCTAAAGAATATGATGAGGCAAATTTTAGTTTTTAAGAAATTTACAAAGCACTACTATGTTTCCTCATAGTCACTCTGGGTAAAACACTGGATAATGCCATAATATAGTAATATAATGATGATTTGAAGGATAAAAAAAAATTCATGGGGGTTAATGATGATGATGTTTTGGATGATGATTAATGTTGACAATGAAGGTTACGATTATGATAATTATGATAACAGAAATGAAGACAATAACAATAATGATGATGGAGATTTTGAAAATGAGTTTGATAGTAAAGTTAGAAAACATTATTCTAGATATAATCTATCAATGTATACCACTGTTAAAATGTTGATGATCATAATACTAACAACAATAATAATAATAATAATAACAATAATAATAAAATAATAATAATAATAATAATAATAATAATAATAATAATAATAATGTTTACAGCAGAAACAACATATGAGTAAATTAAAAAATTGAAAATATTGAAGATGTAGAAAATGATGAAGATGTAGATAAGATGAAATGGTTAGACAAAAGATCAGATCCTTGGGTACTACATCTTCATAATACTGTTGAATACCTTAATAAATGATGATGCAAACTGCATAATTTTCTTACCATTGCTGTTAGGTCTCTGTGGATATAACCAGCTGCATGAACATAATTCATTCCATTAGCAACATCTCTGGACAGACTGATGCGCACGTCCCACGTTATGCTAACATTCTCATCCAATAGCAGATGCTGAAGATCACCTCCATTAACATACTACAGACAAAAAATAAGTTTAATATAAATTATAAATTATTATCTGATTAAAAATCTGGCAATTTAAAAAAATTATTTTTTAAAACAATATTTATAGAGGATGACCCTTCCAGTGTATCATAGAATATTCAGGGGCCCTTTTAAATAAATGAATGAGTTTCATTATGAAGCTTAGGGATTGGAGATTTGAACCCAGGACCCTGGGATTGGAAGGCAAGCATCTTAACCACCAAGCTTCTCCACTTCATTTGTTGCAAATACGTGCAAAAAAAATATATGAAAAACCTTTAAACCTATGCCCTTTGCCACTTCAAGAGTTGCACTAAGCTATATTTTTCCATTTATAAAGCCAAATTCAAAACATAATTTAAACAGCAGCCACTATATTATAAATCCTGGTAATGCCAATTTACTCCTTTAGGTAAATGAAATAATGCAGAAATGTGGCCGTCTATGCATTATTATCTACTTTTGGAAAAACAGAACTTAAAAAGATCAATGTCAAAATATATTACGTATATTACTGTACAAGAAACTTCTATTTGAATTTTATTCTTATTCAAGAGATATAATCGATCGGCAACCTAATTCTTATAATTTATTCATGGTTTGCCATAAAATGTGCGTGATAATTACCTAAGGTTGTAATTACGAGTACAGACAAACAGCAATGCTCAAGATGATCAATATGACAACCTATGTATTTCAGTTTTTATTAGTTTCCTGTTTCTTATGACTTCATCATTTACCTATTGAATAGTACACAGATACATTATATAATTATTTGGTAATTTAGTACAAAGTATACACAACTGGACGGCAGGATCAGTGATGCGGCAGTAGATGGGGGGATACCCTCATTGGACAGGCATTTTTAAATGAAACGAAAATCAAAACCAAGGGAGTACAAAGCGTCATTGTTATTGATATCTGGAATAACCTATAAATTTCAACATGGATTTTTTTCCAAATTATATTTGTAATAACATTTTTCTTCTTACATAAAATCGCATTTTACTTGTCCTCTTTTTTTTTTCTTTTGAAAATTCATAGACCAAATTCATGTAATAATGACCTATCCTCTGTGCCCTATAGCCGAGTCAATGCTACCAAAAACGGTTTTATTCATAGACTCTCCTTTCACTATAATAATGTTACAAGTAATGATCCCACTATTGATATATTTTTTTTAACAGTACTTCCATGTTCAAAACCAAAGTTGCTCATTGAATATAGACTTTTTTTCAATTAAACTAGGAACTAATTTGGTTTTTTGGTTACCTTTGTTATATATTATATGTTATCTTGTACTTTACTATATATTTATAATATTGTATGTGTATTTTAAGACATCCTGTAATGGGCGATACTACTGTTGGATGTAGTTGAAATAAAGAAAAAAAAAAACCAGAGCCTTGCAGGCGTCAACGTTCCTATGCATGATACACGACTTTTAGAAGTATATATA